GTACAGTTTCTCGATTCATTTCATACGTTTGGCAACGTGTTTACTATTCTCTCTTTGTTCAATACATTAATAACGCATTGTACTCTTCTGACATACGGAAATCTCGACCCAAGACTAACCTTTGCCAGCCATTAGTATATTGATAATATCAATTTTTTTCCGTTGAAGCGCTGCGGTCCGAATTTGTTGAAATCAACTGAAATGCACCAAGCCTATAACTAATGTTAATTTTTGACATATTTATGTCAATTTTTAGTAAGTGACGTCTAGAGATTGACCCTACCAAAATTATTCTCGATTCTCATTCCCTACCCGTCTTTGAAGACGTTTTTTCAATCATACGGTAGAACTATTAATTTTATGAATATGATATATGATATAAAAAATGATCAGTACTGGGAATGTCATGATTTTTAATAATCAAATTATCGCTGTTTTATTGGTATCTTTTTAATACCTATATTAAGCATTTGCCGATAACGTCACTTAGGGGAGCAATTAATTTTAACTAGATCGGTCCAATAATAAACATAATAGTTAATTAAAAGCCCCGTTAAATTCGGAAATTGTGGAAAATAAGGCCGTGTAATATATTTAATAACTGTCAGACACAATTTTATCAATAATTCGAATTAACGGGCGTATATTTGTTTTCGTTTCTCCCCCGCCCCTAACCTCAATGTTAAAGGGTAACGAGGGGTAGAATTCGACATAAAATTTACAAAATGCATCCGTGTCATTACTAATTCAGCGCAAAAACTAATTACGATTTTGGCGCATTTTCTCCTGTCGTAAATGGACAACATTCTGATTAAAATTACCTCTAAAATAACATAGATACGAATTAGTCGGATGTATAATTTCGAAACCGTATCGTTCCGTAATTAATATTGTTTAAAAATTTATATTCTTTACTTTTAGAAGATAAATATTTGAAATTTACTCTAATATGCTGCATTTGATTTTATATAATATTCATTAATTTTAACCAAAATTAACTTTTAAAGTAATATTGTAATTTATATATCGGGTGGTGCATAGTCGTTGAAAACATCAAATCCCATGCAAATTTTGAACTGTCCAAATATTGGCTCCACTATTCATTTTACAATTAAGGCTGCAACGTCGCGACGGACCTCCCGTAATCCTGCTGTTAAAACATAACAGCTGATTTTTATATATAAAAACCAATTAGTCAAATAGTCTAAGATCAGGTTGCAGGATTATTACGCTCATGGTATTATTAATAAAAACCTAATTTTTACGTATATTTATGAGTAGGAGAATACATTTTTAACAGGGCGCCTATCAAAAAGTTGCTGCAACTATGTTTAATTAATAATAATAATAACTGATTTTGGAGACTATCTACCATACGCCCATAAATTTTTTTGGTCATTTATCACTACGTATTTTTATTCTGAGCATGATGTTATAAGGGTGTTTATCAAAAAGCTGCCGCAAATAGGGGTTGCCACGGTTCAAAGTTTTTTCTACGGGCCGGGCCCGGCAACAGTGCGACGGGTATCTGTAGCTCCTATAATTAAAAAAAAACTAGTAATTTTGAGGTTCCAACCTAAAGCATGTATGTATGTTAGAATGTATTTCAGGAAAATATTTTAACTTATACAAGGTGGCTCAAAAAAGTGTGAGTTGATCGGGATGATCTCCCGAACCTAAAGTATGCACGTATGTTAGGATGCATTTCAGGAAAATATTTTAACTTCTACAAGGTTGCTCAAAAAAGTGTGCGTTGATCGGGATGATTTTTCTAAAGCCATATATGTAATAAAAACGCGATTATTTTTTAAACCATTAAAATTTTTTAAATACTTTAAATTTAACAACGAATAATATACAGGGTGTTCTATTTGAAAAAAAAAAGATTTTTTTTTATATTTTAGAAAGTTTGGCATAGAATTTTAAACACCCTGTATGGTTTAATATTACAATATTTATAGCAAAGTAAATACAGACCAACAATAGTAAATATGTAGTGTAGTTTTGATTTCAAAACATTTCTTGTATTTTTAATAATTTTTTTATAAAACTCTGAAAACACTTCTTTTTTTTATTTAATTTTGAATTGAAATTTTTATTTTTTATCAATATTTTTGAAACTATCGAAACATATACTATAATAAAACCTTAGGATTATGTAAAGTGATCAGAAAGGAAACCGAAAATGCAACAATTTACAGGATGTTCCTTTAAAAAAATCATCCAGATCCACTCACTCTTTTTTTGGCCACTCTGTACAAGTTACAGTTATATTTTCCTGAAATACATCCTAACACATACTTTAGGTTGGCATTTATATAAAATTCCTAAGTTATTTATTATAGGAGCTACAGATGCCCGACGCACTGTTGCAGGGCCCGTAGCATCACCCATAACATCATGCACAGAATAAAAATAGTTTTAATTTGACAATAAACAAAAGATCTTATCGTGGGTACTGTAATAAAAAAGAAGAAAGGATTTATTGGGCAAGCCTACAGTAAGATTATTCATGAGACATGACTAAAACATGACTAATTTATTTTTAATTTGACATATAAAGCGCATATTTATGAGCGTATTCTCGTCTCGAAAATCAGTTATTATTATTATTAATCAAACATATTTGCGGCAACTTTTTGATAGGCACCCGGCACCCTGTTAAAAGTGTATTCTCCTATTCGTAAATATACGCAAAAATTAGGTTTTGATTAAAAATACGATGATCGCAATAATACTACAGCGGGATCCTGTACTATTAAGTTGTCCCGTACTATAATCATTGTCAAAGCTAACCTACTACGTTATAGTACCTAAGTTTAGTGTCCAAAATTGTTAAAATTGCTCAAACAGGGGAGCCGATATCTGGACAGTTCAAAATTTGCATGCGACCTCCTATGTTTTCAACGACGACTCACCACCCGATGTAAAATATGCTTTAATAAAATTGACCTTAAGTACTATTTTTATTCCATTCGATAAATAAAAAAGTGAAAAATTCAATGTGGAATGATTAAGATGTACAGTTTGACAAATATAGGAAGAGACTTGGGGATAGCACCGGTCGCGCACACGATAGAGAGAGAACGCATTCGGCAGAAGAGAGATGCAGTTACGCTACGAAAAAAATTTTGATTCAAGCAAATTCGTGGGCTGTCCACTGCGCATCGAGGGGCGTCTCTTATTTTATATTTCTCACGTCTCTAGCTATACTTGTTAAGTTGTACAGGGACATCATTTTAAGTGTTTCACTCAATTTATTATTTTCCTGTTTCGTATTTAAAAATAGTAGAAAGATTTTCGCGAGGATGCCGATTCTCTACATGATTTTTTTTTAAAACGTCAATTTTGACAGATACGACGCCATCTTGATTTTTTTAAATGGTAACCCCCACATATTTTTGTCCGGTTAGACATATTTTAGCTAGTATATATTTATAAATATATATTTTAGTATACTTTGCACTTACCGTTTTCGATATACAGTGGATTTAAAAATGAATTGTTCCAGAATCATTTTAAGTGTCTCACTCAATTTAAAATTTTTCTCTTTTCTATTTTAAGATAGTAAAAAGATATTTTAATGCAATTTTTCGCGAGGATGCCGATTTTCTACATTAAACTTTTTAAAAACGTCAATTTTGACAGATACGACGCATCTTGATTTTTTTTCAATGGAAACTCTATCATATTTTAGCATGGTCCGGTAGACATATTTTAGCTAATTTCAAAAATATATAGTTTAGTATAAATTGCACTTAACGTTTTCGATATGCAGTGGATTTAAAAACTAATTGTTCGAGAATCATTTTAAGTGTCTCACCCAATTTAAAATTTTCCTCTTATATATTTTAAGATAGAACGTTTTTAGATTAGGAGTTTACATTTAAAAAAAAAAAGATGGCGTCGTATCTGTCAAAATTGACGTTTTTAAAAAGTTTAATGTAGAAAATCGGCATCCTCGCGAAAAATTACATTAAAATATCTTTTTACTATCTCAAAATAGAAAAGAGGAAAATTTTAAATTGGGTGAGACACTTAAAATGATTCTGGAACAATTCATTTTTAAAGCCACTGTATATCGAAAACGGAAGATGCAAAGTATACCAAACTATATATTTTTGATATTAGCTAAAATATATCTACCGAACCATGCTAAAATATGTGCGAGTTGACATTAAAAAAATCAAGATGGCGTCGTATCTGTCAAAATTGACGTTTTAAAAAATTTTGAAGTAGAGAATCGGCATCCTCACGAAAAATTACATTAGAAAATCTTTCTACTATCTTTAATATGAAACCAGAAAATTATAAATCGAGTGAGAGACTTAAAATGATGATAGTTTTCAATTTTTGTTGTAGATACCGCTTTCAACAAACAACGCCCTTATTTAAAAAACAAATTATTGTTTAAAAGCCTATGTTAATTAATGATAAAAAATAAAAGGCGTTCTGTTTAAAACGGGTGAGAAAAAGATATATCACTCAACACTGAGTTTCCCTGCATAGTTTTCTATCAATATCTAACATTCGATTCCTTGGTTTGACCCAATTAAATGAAAAAAATCGCCTGTCCAACTCTAACAAGAACCAAAACTGTCCAAATTAATTTGTAGCGACCTCCCTTTACCCTTACATCCCCTCGGGTCTCTAATAAAACATATACCCTATCAATTTGTAAGCCTCTGAATCGATAGACCCTTTTCAACATTGCGTTAGTTAGGGTTTTATGATCCGGAATGTTAATTTTTCCATTAGCTTTCTTCAGTTTTATCAACAATTTGTATAATGAGAAATTAATTAAATGATTTAAAAAATTTAGGTTCTACTTACAAAAAAAACATAAACATTACGGGTACATTGGTAATCTCATTAATATGGACATAAAAAGTCAATATGATATCTTAAAAAACAAAATATTCTGAATATGGCTTGTAAAGCAGCGTATACTATTATTACATTTATATCCAATTTTTGTACTTATACTTTTTTTCTTTAAGGTATCTGAATTGATAGATCAGTATGGTCTTAAAGTAGTCCAAGCTTACATGGGCCACATCCAAACTAACGCTGAAATAGCGGTCAGAGATATGCTAAGAGAAGTAGCTAGAGAGGCAGTAGTTAGAACAGGAAGCGCATCGTTATATTATAGCGATAGCTTAGATGATGGCTCACCCATTACCCTAAAGGTTACTCTGGATGAGACATCAGGATCGGCACTTTGCGACTTCAGGTAAATCTATTTATTGTTATATGGGGATTTACACGTTTACCACAAAAAAAAACGTTTTTTTTGTGGTAAAACCATTTGAATAAACAATTACTATATTTGAGACGTCAAGTTGCAAAATACGTCTTATCCCAAAAACGTTTCGAAAGAATATGCAAAAACTGTTTTAGAAAATGGTTGAAGCGTTATTTTACAAAAAAACATATCTATTGAGTGGAAACATTGTTGGGTATCTTGTTTTTCTAGAATTAATATTTAATTTTTAAAAAGAAAAAACACAAAAATAATTCGGATAAGGCGGATTTTGGTGTAGTATGATGTATATTGCGGGTTTTGCAACAGCAAGATATTGCATCCTAACTAACGTCTCTAACTTGATTTATTAGATATGCTATTTTATTACCACTAGGTAAGGGTTCAAACTAGATAAGACGTCGGTAGTACTATTATACTTGTGTAAAAAACCTATGAAAAAATGCGGGATTTGCAACAATAATGAAAGTAAAAATCAAATATAAGTGGATAAGACGGATTTTGTTGCGATAACGTAATTTGTATGGAATTTTATATAGGAATAGGCCACTTTACTTGCCGTTTGGGACTATGTTTATGTAGAGGGGGGTCAAATATATGTTTGTGTAGAGATTTTAAGGTGCACTATTAATATATGTAATTAGGTATATTTTTTGAATGCACAAAGTGGGTTTTCCAACTTGACGCCTTATTTATGCACCCAGCACTGTTTTGCTTAGTTTAACTGAAGTCTTGGCAATATTATCAATAATACTTGATCATATTATGAATTATATTTTAAGCAACTTTTTAATTCTAGTCTAAAAAATATCTTTTCAATGATTTATCTCTTCAGGAAATTAGCTATTTTTGATAATTTTATTGTCCTGTACATACACTGATTTGTTTTTTTAATTTTCTAAAGTTATGGATGGGATCTACACATTTCTAGTAACTTAATTATTAATTGTTTAATATTTATCATGATTGTTAATTCTATGAGGATACAACGCAGCAAAATTATTTTTTTAGAAATAAACGGTGAATCATATATTAAGGCATTATGTAAACGTTTCTTAACATAAGAAAATTTCGATTTATCGAATGTTCGGGGTTATTCATTATTTTTATTTCAATATACATTTTTCAGTGGTTCTGGTCCAGAAGTATGGGGCAATTGCAATGCACCTCGTGCTGTCAGCCTTTCTGCCCTTATTTACTGCCTTAGATGCATGGTGGGACATGATGTCCCTTTAAATCAAGTAAGAAAGTTTGATTTATATTTTTAAGTGAATACAGGATTTCTTTCATGTGACAGGTTTATAAAAATGATTTTAATTTAATTTATACACAAATTTGAATGTTTAGGTGAAGGACATTTTAAGTTGTACTTTGTTAAAAAACGTTTTCTGTCATTTAAGGTAGGTTCATACACGCGAGTTGTGAATATCTCAAAATAAAACCGTCTTTTATTTACGTTTAAAATGTCACTTGAATGTAGAATTTTATTTTTGTCTCCAGTTTGTTCTCGCAGTGCCGTGATAGATAATAGCTTTGTTCGCGGAGGCGATCCCTGACTAATCCCTGGCTGGCGCGTCGGCGCGCTTTGAATATGAGCGTTCGCGGTACAATAAGTTCCAGATTCTGACAAACGATCAGTCGTTCGCGGAAGCGCTTAATCGAATCGAGGACTGGTACGGGATCGATCAGAATAGTCAGCGGATAGATGCCTGTACTTCTTGTCAGGTGCATGCGTATTGCGGACTATTGCGTTTGTTGACAAAAGCACTTCTCTGTGAGGGAAACTTAAAAACCTTTTTAGTGCAGTAGGCTTAATCCGTGGAGATTAATCGAAGCTTTGCATTGCTACAACCTTACCATTTTGCATATTTGTGTGTTTATAAATTCACAGTGTTTTAATTTTGCACAGAATAAACTTATTGCACAGAATAAAATTATTAATGCCGTTAATGATTCTTAAATTAAGGGTTAATTATAAAATTTACAATTAATGCTTACAATAATATACCCTGTATATTTTATGCTGTTTGAATTTTACATGAAGTTCTAAACAGATTTTTTGCATAATATGCAGACCAGAAGATAATTATACATTTCTCGGCAATGATTATTTTTCTTTAAATTTATGTTGCTTTTGTCATTTAAAAAAAGTCTTGCTCTATTTACTTATTATATATGGTAATCGCAAAACAATTTCCGATGCACGTGATCAACTTCGAGTGGCAAGCGATGGCGACAGCGCTGCCAGATTGTGATGGATTTATGAGATCAATCTTAATTTAAAAGTAACAAACAATATATTTATTATATTATTTTTTAAGGATTTTTACGTTTTATTTTTAATTTAATAACTAATAGTTTAGTAATTAATTCATTTATTTGTTTTATAGCTTATTTTACTTATTACTACTTCGACTGCAGTTTTAAGGGTAATAAAGAACCTTTATTGTCACGTTCTCGTTCAAAATATTTTATCAGGGAAGCTACAAGCTCTTTGCTTCGATTTTTTAAACGCTTTGGCATATTTTCAACACACAATTATTTCAAGAAATGCCATACAAAAACTCGAAAATTTAGTTCTTAAAAGAAATGTTTGGTTAGGTTAGGTTAGGTTAGGAAAATAGGAAAAAAAAACGAGAATTACTCACAAAGATTCAATAACAACACGATATTATACAAAATAATGACTGACATTAGGATAATTGTCAAATAATAAACGAAAACCTTGCTGAAAACGGCGCAATGTGACTAACATAGCGATAACAAAATTCGGTTTAAACAAATTTTTGTAGCCTTAATCTAAATAAAATATCTGTTACAATCATTTGCTCTATAAAGTAAAATGAAGATTAATTAAGAATTATTCAACAAATTTAAACACTTTTGTCAAAATTTCATTTAGTCAGGTTTATAGATTTTAATGTCAATGTCGATATGATGATGATGTTCATCGGAAAATATTTTGCGATTACAATATTCACCGGCACGAAATATGGACACCTTACAATATGTATTTTAAAATTTAATATATTTTGTACTAGTGGGTTTGGTTTTGTTGATGTATTAAGCATCTGTAGCTAAATTATTTGGCTTTTTAGTATCTCTTTTTAAATTAAAGATGAAAGTTCTCATCTGCCAATTATAGGAGGTAATTCAAAATGTTGATATTTTAGTGAAAATTTGAAACACCCTGTGGAATATATTAACTAAGCAAGGAATTTAAAAATAATTTTATCATCTAGGTACATTTTTTTCTCGATAGTTTGTCTTTTGACTCATCTCAATAGCAGAGCAAAAAAAAATTGAAAATGTGTTTTTAAACTTGAAAAAAGATACTTAATATGTAATTCATAATAGTTATATACTATTGATAATGATAATGCCAAGGATTTCAGATAAATTAAGCAAAACAGTGCTTAGGAGATATTAGCTTTTGAATGAGACAGTAACGATTTACAGCAATTTTAGCATTGACAGCATGCCTTTGTTTTCCCTCATTAACATACTTATAAAAATTGTTTATTGCTTTTGTAATGTCATTGTCATTGAAAACTCATGTTATTATTGTTTTTGGATGTTTTCTTTAGTAAATATGGTTTTAAGTTTTGAAGTATCGGCTACTGCTGCTTTAAGTGATCATGGTAGATATCAACTTTTGGACTTAAAACCATCTCTGCTAGAGTAACTGCCTAATAGAGAATAATAATATGATTTTTCAAAGAGAGCGACATTACATAAAATCATAGACATTAATTAAACATAGACAGCAAATATCTCCAAAAAAACTATTGAGATGAACCAAATAACAAAGTATCTAGAAAAGATACACCTAGATGATAAAATGATTTTTAAATTCCTTGCTTTGTTAACGTACTCCACAGGGTGTTTGAAACTTTCACCAAAATATCAACATTTTTCACACGTTTTCACTCGTATAGTTGACAAATGGCAACTTTCATTTTTAATTTAGAGTCACGTACTAAAAAGTCAAATAATTTAGTTACAAATTGCTTAAAAAATCATCAAAATCGGTTCACTAGAACATAATATATATAAACCTTTAAAATAAATGAAAAAAATTAGGTGCCCCTTTTTCGTACCGGTGAGTGTAATATTAATGCATTAAATATTATAGGGGTGCTTAAAAAAATTTGCGAGTACAGAGAAAAGTGAATTAAAAAATTATAAAAGGCGAACATTTTAAAAAGATAATATTTTCATTTTTATTTAATAACAAAAATAAAACAATATTTGAAAGGACACTGAAAATACATTTCATTTACCCAGATTTGTCGCCCTTTAAAACCTCCGGCCCTCTGTTTAAGACCGACCCTTTATTTTAGGGCTGTTTGGCTCCCGTCCAGGTGAATATTCCCAAGGGATCGCTGCTGGATCCCAGCGAAAATGCTGCAGTGGTAGGAGGCAATGTCCTGACGTCACAGCGTATTGTCGACGTTGTTTTGGGGGCTTTCCGAGTGTGTGCTGCCTCTCAGGGCTGTATGAACAACATCACGTTCGGGAACGAGTTTTGGGGCTGTTACGAGACTGTTGCTGGGGGTAGCGGTGCTGTAAGTATATTTAAAAAACTACTGGATATAAACTATGACATTATGTTTTTTTTTCTATTATTATACACTCAAATGCAAAAAAACGCAACGGAGAAAATTTTGGTCAAATTTAAAGTGTTATGTTTTTGTTATTTTTAACTCTATTTTCATGAATTTTTCAGCAAACTGTATATAATTATATTAACTTTAATTCGTAAACTCAGTTTTTAATACACTTTAGTATTTGACATGTTATACAGGGTTAATCGAGGGGTTGTTTTTTTACCGTAACTTTAAAACACCTTGTGCAATAATTTTGTGTGTAAATTTTCCTAAAATATAATTTTACGGTCAGAACCATGACTCCTGAGCATTTTGTTTTTTGATTCATGTCAGTACATGCTTTGGTTAATTTTTAAGTGCGAAATGAACTGATCTCGATCAATTTTCAATTTTTTCAATTATCATTACTTTTTTATGTAATTTTTTTATATGACGACATGGTTATGGCGACCATTGTTGTAACGGCACATTACGCTGCATTGGATACTCTATACTAATTAAAAATCGTTAAAGACTAACGATTTAATAAACATTCATAACGATAACAGAACTAACGATATTAAAGAATTAAGATCTGTAATACTCATGCAAGTATACAAACAGAAAAAAATTTTTCAATTATCATTACTTTTTTATGTAATTTTTTTATATGACGACATGGTTATGGCGACCATTGTTGTAACGGCACATTACGCTGCATTGGATACTCTATACTAATTAAAAATCGTTAAAGACTAACGATTTAATAAACATTCATAACGATAACAGAACTAACGATATTAAAGAATTAAGATCTGTAATACTCATGCAAGTATACAAACAGAAAAAAATGTTGTAAAAAATACGCTAATACCGTTACTAATACTGTGTATTGTCTCCCTTGGCTGCTACAACTATCTGTATACGTCCGTTCATACTGTCATTGAGGCTGCATAATATCATATTGCGTTATATTTTCCCACTCTCCTTTAAGAACTAAGCGAAGTTCATTTAATGAAGCTGGTAACGCTTCGCGACCTTTAAATCTCCTGCCAAGCATTTCCCAAACGAATATGATGGGCAGTTCATAGTTGTATATAGTTCACAATAATCACCAAAGCCGCCTTGTCATATTGAAAAATAACATCAAAAAGTAATTACAGTTGAGGGTTGGAACCTTTGGTGTTAAACAGCAAAATAAAAACACTAAATCACCACAATACACCAAAACACTTTTACTTTTACACTGGACGCGCGTTTCGCTAACCATGTTAGCATCATCAGCAGATGATTATAAACTAAAGCAATAAATCTACAAGTTGAGCGTTTATATACTGCCCCAGTGGGCACCGAGTGGGCGTGGCAAAAACTAGCCAAATCGTGTCAGAGCCAACTGAGCGTAACAGTTGTAGATTTTCGCCACTAGAGTAGTAGGAACAAAAGAACTTGAAGGAATTGGACCGTTGTCTCTGTTCATACTATCTTTACATTTATTAATTCTGATGCTTTTTCATATGCATCTAATTGCCTGTAATTTGAGACTTGTTTAATTAATTTTAAATTATTAAGATCCTATACAATGTTCTTTATCAACAATATGTTCGGCAACGCAAGATTTATCCGGTCTACCATATCTTATCTGAGCTAAATGTTCTTTAAATCTAGTTAATATTGATCTTCTAGTTTGCCCAACATATTTCTGATTACAATCTTTACAAGAAATTTCATAAATACCCGACCTTTCCAGTGGAGATGTTTTATCCTTTGGATTACCTAATAATTGTTGTAATTTATTATTAGCACTATACACAAGTTTATAATTGACATTCTTAAAGAGGAAATTGCAAGTATCCAATCCCTCATTACCAAAATTGTATGCTTTGCCAAAAATTCATAAACCGGACAAGTCTATGCGCCCAATTGTATCGGCTGTAGGTTCTCCGACTTATAACTTGGCAAAATGGTTATCAAGGGAGTTCGAAAATTTACCTGATCAGGAACCTTCTTTCGCAGTTAAAAATAATATTGAATTCATTAACAAAATTAAAGATATAACATTGCATGAAGGTGAAATTTTGGTGCTCCCTTTGATGTATCTTCGTTGTTCCCCAAGTGTTCCAATTCCACATACTTTAGGCTACTTGAAGGAATTACTGAACGCCAAATGGTCTCGACAACAAAACTGTGACTGAATATATTGAGCTTACATCGTTATGTATGAAACAAAATTGTTTTCAATTTAATAACAACTTTTTGAACAGCGGGAAGGTACAGCAATGGGTAATCCATTGTCTCCATTTTTGGCTAATTTATTCATGAGCAGGTTTGAAGTGGAGGCTAAGAATCAGTTTGAGTATTTTCCAAGAGTTTGGTTTAGGTATGTGGATGATATTTTTGCTGTTTTTGACACACATTCAGACACCATAGATAATTTTATTTCTAAGTTAAATAATCGTTTTCCTTCCATTAAATTTACTCATGAAATTGAGAACAACGACAGATTACCTTTTCTAGATGTATTAGTTATTAGAAATGCTAATAATTGCTTGGAATTTGATATCTATAGGAAAAATACGACCACACGCAGATATATTCCTAATGAATCACATCATAGTGTTGAACATAAAATGGCTAGTTTAAATTTCTTAGTTCATAGATTACTTAGTTTCCCACTTTCCAACGAAAGATATGAAATAGAAAGAGATTACATTAGAATGTAGCTGAGTGTAATGGATATTCTCCTTCACTAGTTGATAAATTAATTAGAAAACGTAGGTATAGGTTAATGATTTCTGAAAATTCGACTTTTCAAGTGGAGAAAGATACGTCTAAATATTTTTCGATACCGTTTGATAGAGAGTTAACCCATGGTCTAAAAAGGAATTTTTAAGAATGTCAATTATAAACTTGTATAGTGCTAATAATAAATTACAACAATTATTACGTAATCCAAAGGATAAAACATCTCCACTGGAAGGTCGGGTATTTATGAAATTTCTTGTAAAGATTGTAATCAGAAATATGTTGGGCAAACTAGAAGGACCAATATTAACTAGATTTAAAGAACATTTAGCTCAGATAAGATATGGTAGACCGGATAAATCTTGCGTTGCCGAACATATTGATGATAAAGAACATTGTATAGATCTTAATAATTTAAAATTAATTAAACAAGTCTCAAATTACAGGCAATTAGATGCATATGAAAGCATCAGAATTAATAAATGTAAAGATAGTATGAACAGAGACAACGGTCCAATTCCTTCAAGTTCTTTGTTCCTTACTACTCTAGTGGCGAAAATCTGTTACGCTCAGTTGGCTCTGACACGGTTGGCTAGTTTTTGCCACGCCCACTCGGTGCCCACTGGGCGAGTATATAAACGCTCAACTTGTAGATTGTACTTTAGTTTATAATCATCTGCTGATGATGCTAACATGGTTAGCGAAACGCGCGTCCAGTGTAAAAGTAAAAGTGTTTTGGTGTATTGTGGTGATTTAGTGTTTTTATTTTGCGATCAAAAAGTAATGATAATTGAAAAAATTGTAAATTGTTGGTGGCAAGTTCATTTCGCTCTTAAAAATTAACCAAGACATGTATTGACATGATCCAAAAAACAAAATGCTCAGGAGACATGGTTCTGACCGTAAAATTATATTCTAGGAAAATTTACACACGAAATTATTGCACAGGGTGTTTTAAAGTTAAGGTAAAAAACAACCCCTCGTTTAACCCTGTATAATATGCCAAATACTAAAGGTTATAAAAACTGAGTTTACGAATTAAATCTGATATAATTATATACAGTTTGGTAAAAAAATCATGAAAATATAGCTAAAAATAACAAAAACAGAACATACTAAATTTGACCAAAAATTTTTTGCATCTGAGTGTATTTTACCAAGAGACCTTTTTAACGTAAAAAACGACAGAAACGTATATTTTTTCACTCAGTAGCTTTATACAGGTACAGACAAAATATTGTTACACTTTATACCAGTTATAAATATGTAGGTGGCGCCCCATACAAGTATGAGTCATATTGAAATCGACAAATTTTTATCCAAATATCGACAATAGTTCAGAAATTCTTTGAAAAAAATCGAAATAAAAATGAAACCCTACACTTTGTATCTCCGAAAAGAAGCATTTCTGTACATATATTTATACAAACTTTTTTACTTTTTTTATCTGCAGAATATGCTGCCGAAGTTGATGCAAACATAAAATATTTCATACAACTGAAAAAAGTTAGTAAAGCCGATAAATTCTGGCGTTAGAAATAAAATATCATAACAAATTAAATAGAAGTTGACATCATCCAAAATAAAAATAAATATATAAGGAGTTTGACAAAAAGTTATTAAAAAAAAACAAAAAGTAATTAAAATTAAATAATTTTCACAGAGCTTATAAAAATAGTGAAGTGACAAAGAAGTACAAAAAGAGTAATTTATTTTGATTTGTATTATTTTTGTATCAACTAGAAAGTTATAGGTACCCTTTTAAGTTTTGCCACGCATTAATTTTTTTCAGCTATCATTTCAAAGGTTTTCGCCTCTTTTGGTTTATTTGCTATTTAAATTTTTCCTTTTTATTTCTATTTTAGCACTTTTTTATTGTACGCTTGGGCGATGCTGTTGCCAGTAATATTTTTAAAAACGCTATATTTTGAATTGTTGCAAAGAGAACCGTCAGAGACATAAAGGGGGATAATTTCATTTAAATGTTGCTTTAATCGGTCGAAATACAGAGAGCCAGCCAATTTAAACAGACCTTTTTTCCATTTTCGGTGTATTTTTTTAACAGGTACTTTTTATCGGTTTACCCCATTGTATGGTTTTTATTAAAGCTATGTTCGATTTGTTGTAAAATTCTTTTTTTCTTTACTTTGTTTTTCTCTCCGGGAGAGTTGACAAAATTGATATACGAAGAGGAAATAGAACGTATTCAATAAAACACACGATAAAAAAATATCTGG